AGGATTAAGGCTTACTCTGAAAAACTTGGCTTCTATTATACTATTTTAGATGCGGGTTTTTGCGTTTTTGATTGCGTTTTAATAGGGTACGTCAAGAGAATGTACACTAAGAAGAAATTTTTCGAAAAATTCTCCCCCACGGGGGAAGTGTTATACACTTATAATAGATACATTTTGAGCCACAACAACGCGTGGCGGGTTCTGCTAGTATAGTATATTTCTAGCTCGTTGGACTTCGCCATTCGGCCATTATTGAACTTTCGTTATACTCAATAACTTTCGGTTCTTACAATAAATAATGAATTATCAATTTTTAGAATTGTTTTCTTTTATTAAATCTAAATATATAAAATTGCTTGTCTCGACTGACTGACTGACTCATTCACTCACTGATTCATCATCGCTCAGAGCAAACCGCTTAACCTAAAGAGGTGAAATTTGGTAGAGAGTTAGGGTATGTCATGGAAACGCACAATAAGAAGGGATTTTTCGAAATTCCCTTGCGGGGGAGAGAGAAAGGATTAAGGCTTAACCGGAAGAACGGCTTCTACTGCACTATTTTAAATGCAATTTTCTGTTTTTATCTGCGTTTTAGTAAAGTATGCCATGGCAATGCACACTAAGAAGAGATTTTTCAAAAATCGGGAGAGGATTTAGTCTTCATCGAGTACTTAGGTGTATTAAATTAATGACATTTCAGACATTGTTATAAATATTTTTATCTATTTCGATTTTAAAAATGTTTGAACCGTTTTAAATTCGAATTTGTTATTGCACATTGGTTCGATTATAGAACGATTGTAAACGTTCCAGAAAATTGAACAAATTGAAAATAGTTCGTTTGATTCTCGGCAATTCTCATCATTCTCAGTGGTAGATGTTATATAACAATTACTATGGTTGTTGAAATACTGAATATAAATGGGATTTGCTTGCAAAATCCGCTGGTAACAGCTAGTTTATCATATTTTCACTTTGAATAAGTTTTAAATTATTAAGTGATAGTAGATTAGCGTTTACGCATCACCAGCTGCTAGCCATGATTTACCGTTATCTGTCAACTTTTGCAAACACACGTTTTTAGTTTGAGAGTATAAAGTCGCAAGATGGAGGACGTCATCCATATTCCTTCTTTTTTTATAGATTGAAAATGAGCTTTTGTCAAAAAATGAGCAGAAAATTTCATAATTTAGTTGTAATACATCGTATCCAGGTTGTAACTGGTGTTTTTTTAACCGAACTGGACTATGTCTCAAAATTTCGAGACCGAAATCGGGTTGTTGTCCCTCCCACTTGATGTCATTTTCGACATTTTGTCATATTTGGATTTGAAATCACTGGGAAGATTAAGTTCTGTCTGTAAACGATTAAATCTGATCGTTAAGAACGACTATGTGTGGATAGAGAGAAGTAAAAATGCTGTTGTGACTAATCAGATATCTCAAGAGATTAAAAAGAGGTATTATCTTCAATTCTTTTAAATAAATTGATCAGTAAGAATTATAAACTAATATAATATTACTACACTACTGTTTGTTTGGTTTATTATCATAATTTTAGCAATTTAAATCCAATTTTGAGTATATCTTATCAATATAGTAATTTGAATCTATAAATCTGTTTTGTTTTCAACAGGTTGACGAGAAATTAAGTAAGTGAATAAAAACATCTGATATGTAAAAGAATTGCGACAAGTAAAAACTTGTGACAATTCAGACAAGAGTCAAATTCTTTCAGAGTTTTTCTTTGTGAAGGTAAGCTTGGTGCTTGGAAGTGGTACCTGCAAGATTTTTACCTGTATTATTTTCTACATTTTGCTTCAAAGTGCAATGCTTATCTTTACTAAAGAAAAACTTTGACTGTCGTCTAAATTGACACACAAGTTTTTACTTGGTGCAATTTTTTTTACATCTCGCATGTTCTTGTTTGGATGTCAATTGTTTTTTGTTTAATAATTGTATTATTACTTCAAGACATAAAGACGATTATGTACAATTTAGTCGGTGCTCTGTAATCGAGCGCTGCCGACCAACATGCCACCGACCGAATGCATCTCCGACCAAACGTGTTGCCAACTGAACACTTTCAATATTCATTTCGGTTGGCTCCGCCCAAATTTTTTGCTGACCGACACTTTTGATATGCTGCGCTGTTTAAAAAAATTGTTATAGAAAGTTTTAATTTGTATACAATTGAGCTTTTGTTATTCTGGATAATACTCTGAATAAAATTCATTTGTTTCCATGCAATTTTATTCTTATAAGCATAAAATTAAGCTGTAAAACTGAAATATCTCTTTAGGAAACCCTGTGAACTTTGACCTATTGACCTGGAAGTTTCACTAGCACCTCATTGATAAATGAGAAAGGCTTAAGTTTAAAATTTGAGCTTTCTAGACCCAATATTTTTTTCTGAGTATGTGTAGTGCCCAATGAAAAAGAGGAAAATAGCTTTTTCTTTGACAATTTTTGCACTTTTCAATTGTTTATGTGGCAACTGCTTTATATAAAATCTTGAAATTTTCCACACTATATAAGAAAACAATTACCATTCAAATGAGATATTTGGAATGCCTAAAGTTTTAGGGAGTGGAGAAATCAACTATTGGAAATCAGTAACTCTGAAACAAGTAACCTACTAATCAGCAAAAGGCAATTTGGAGGAATATTGTGTGACATTACTATTTTAATGTTTTCCATGCTTATACATTTACATAGAAATTAAATTATATCAATAAATAGCAGTATGCTAATGCCTTCTGACACTTTAAAACATAAAATACATGTGTGTACATACATAACAACAAAAAAGTGAGAATAAACTTGGGTCCATGAGTGGCTCTTAGCAAGATAATTTGATCAAATTAAAACAGTGACATTTAGCAAACATCTTTCTGCAATAAGATCAAATCAAAATGAATTATTCCAAACATATAATTTTAATAATGTTATGTTAATGCCATTTAAGTGATATAAATCTTTTTTGTATGCTATTGTTTACATATAAGAAATCAGTTATATGAATATCTATGATCGGTTTGATTTATTCAGCATTATTTTTACTCTACATTTTTAATAAAAGTAATTTTATTTTCATAGTAATATTGGCTTTTAGAGCAGTAGATATAATAATAATAATAATAATCAGTGGGCTTTACAGAAGGTATTATGTGAGGTGTTATCTCATGTATTAAAAATGGTGTTAAAAAAGAATTTAAATGTTTAAGAATTTAGAATTTTTAAACAAATAGACATAATACTGATTTATTGAATAATTGTTGATGATTGAATATTAACTGAAATTGTTTACTTTAAAAATTTCATTTTTATAAAATTACATTTTTATTTTCTTTTTTAAAAATAAATTCATAATTATTTTAGGTCATTTAGGCAGCTTTCTGCAAAAGAAAAATGCAGAATATCACAAAATTGGAAATGTGGCAAGCTGGCAGAAGAATTTCTATTAGTTCATCGAACTCCGTAAGAATTTTAAAAGAAAACTAAGAATTTCAATTAGTAAATTCTGAAATTTTAATGAGGTTTACGTAAATTGTTAGGTATATGCCATGGTTACAATTGAATAATAAGTATCTTTGGTATAGTAAAGCCAATACAATTTTATGCTATGAAAGAACCATCGATGGAAACATAGCAAAATGGCCTATTCAAACACTCAAAGGACATATAGAAGATGTTTGTCGTTTTGTATGCAGAGAAGGACTTATTGTTAGTGGAGGAAGGTAAGTTTGTTTTACTACTACTATTATTAATTATTATTAAAATACATTTTTGATATATATTTTTCAGAGATGGTGCAATATGTGGTTGGGATGAAGAAAATGGACAGTTTATGTTTTATTTAAGACGTTGCCATAATAGTGACATTAATAGTGTTGACATATGGAATAATATTATAGTGTCTGGTTCCAGAGACAAAAATGTGAAAGTAATTAGTTAAATGAAAAGTAATACCATTTTTATTTAAATACGATTCAGAATTTAAAAATAAATTGTACTGTTTTAGATTTGGGTTCGCCAAAATGGCAGTACATCCTGTCAGCATCTATTACAAATTAGAGATCGAGTATGGTCTGTGGCTATTCCTCCCTGTGGCAGGTTTGTTATATTGATATTTAAATACTCATAGAATATCATTCTGTCCTCTTACAAAAAACACTTTTTATATTTATAAAGAAAAGAGATAATTAGTAAGAAGTTTTAACATACTATATATTGTATTTTGTTTTTTGTGGTTTATTATTTTTATTGTTAGATATCAAACACAATCTGTGCTTAAATTATCAAGGAAAAATAATCTCATGGACCTAACTAAATAAGAAGAGTCATATGTAAAATTATAAGAGTTTCATGAAATTTTTGCAGTGAAACGTCAGTTTTGCAAAATGACTTTAAAATTATATTCACATTTTCAAAATAATACAGTGGGTGATAGATTAACGAACATAATCCATTCCAAGACTTTGTTTGCTATCCAAATTGTTTGTTAACCAATTATCGATTTACCATAGGTTTTTATGGGAATTTGATTAATTAGTTCTGGAGACCCCAAAAAATAAAAAAATATACTTTCTTACTACGTTTATTTATATGTAATAATAAAAATACATACATATAAACAGTCTTGCATTTCTATTAGTCATGTTTTTTCTGTTTGTNTAAAAAGGCCGTGATTGACATAAATGAACAAAAATGTGGACTTACATTTGACATGTGGGTTCGATGCGTTGAACATTAATTAAAAGATTAAGCATACGATATACAAGATTTCTCGTTAAAAATTCTGAAATAAAATAGTGTTCTGAAAATAAAATAGTGTTTTTCTAGGTTAATGTCCAGATACGTGGACCATCATGGCGGCACTTCCTGTTTCAGCCTCGAAACCAGACGGTTTGCAGATGACGTGTCACTTGACGACGCGAGCGAACGGCGGAGGCTGCTGCGCCGCGGCAGCGTCGGCGGCTGTCATAGCGCCTCATCGCTGATTCCAGCAAAGGAAACAGTGGGGACGCACATTCTAACCTAACCTAACCTATTCTAATAATATAATTGGTAATAATTATGCTAATTTATTAGAATAGGTTAGGTTAGGTTAGAACGTGCGTCGGCGGCTGCTGCGCCGCGGCAGCGTCGGCGGCTGTCATGGCGCATCATTGCTGATTCCAGCAAAGAAAAGGAAACAGTGGGGACACACGTTCTAACCTAACCTAACCTATTCTAATAATATAATTGGTAATAATTATGCTAATTTATTAGAATAGGTTAGGTTAGGTTAGAACGTGCGTCGGTGCGTCACGTGACACGTCGTCTGCAAATCGTCTGGTTTCGAGGCTGAAACAGGAAGTGCCGCCATGATGGTCCACGTATCTGGACATTAACCTTTTTCTAAATCTAATTTGATGTCCTGTGGTGGTGTAATAAGTCTAGAAGTAAAGTAAAGCCAATCTTAGACCTTTAGATGTCGAAAACTATGAAACATAACTGTATCATGACTACAATTTCATCATTTAACATTATGATATCTGTTGAAAAGCCAAATTTCATCAGTGGATATTTCAGTACATAAACAACAGCCAATGCTACTGCAAAACATATATATTAATTTGAAATATGTCTAATGTCTGTAAATTTTTATTTTATAATTATAACAAAGAATAAAGCGTAATTACAATGCAAACACAGAAGCTGTTTGAGTGACATTAAACTTTACTGACCTGAATGCAGGCCTTAACAAGTAAATCATACTTGACTATATCTTGTAAGCACATCTTCACATTCACATCGAGAGTAATAGCTTCTTTATTTCTGGACATCTTTTATATTTGTAAATAGAATGTTATATATGTGTAATAAACTCTAAGCTACTATTTTTTAAATCCTATATACATTTTAATCTGTTATTCAGCGAAAACACAAACACAACACGACAGCAGTCTTCTACAGTAAGCACATAATAGCGAATTTTGAATGAAAGATGGTTTATAGCGCCGTCTCTCGGTTACTTCTTATAATCGTTAATTGACTTGAAAAATAATGAAATATTAAAGTATACTGATAATTTTTACTTGTTAAATTCCCAGATTTGTATCACCCAAATATACAAAGCCATTAATTTGCAGGTTGTAGATTTTGCCACTCTTAACCATGGGCGTAGCCAGGGTTTGTTATGGAGGGGGCCTAGTCAGTACCGGCCCGAGGCAAGTTTTAGGATGGAGCGAGATCCTATTATGGCCCTATTATGGCGCCCCCCTTGGTTTCCCCCAATTTATACCCCTTAATTTTCTTAATACTCAGGCGCCCCCTAAAATTTAGCGCCTGGAGAGGCTGCTCCGTTCGCCCTATGGTAGGGCCGGCTCTGGGCCTAGTAGAGGCCAGCCTGACACAAAATTGAATCATTTCAAATTATTGTTCATTGAAATGGAATTTCCATAGGAATCGACAATAATTTAACACGCCTATAATATGAAACTTCCTTTAATCATACGTTTTCGAAACTCTAACAATGCCAGGCATGGCCAACATACGGCCCGCGGGCCAGACCCGGCCCATCTAATGAATTTATGTGGCCCGCGATCAATCTTTCAATATTAGGTATTGAAGTCCGAATAGCTCGATGAAAAATTCTGACGCCTAAAAACAAATAAAAGATCAACAACTCACTGTGCGTTTAGAGTTAACCCTCCATTACAAATCTCTTAAGACAGCATGATAATGTGAAAAATGTATCTGTAATCTCTATCTACAATTCAGTCTCTACGGGGTGACACTACAATGAGATCTTGCACCACCTCAAAATCTTCCTAGTGCAGCCTCTGGTTCGGCCCGTGGAAAAAGTTTTCTTTCCAATCCGGCCCAGGGGGCAAAAACTGTTGGCCATCCCTGCCTTAAACAAAAATTAACCAACCAATTGTTTTTTACCATTTTTTAATATATTCACCGTCTTTAATCTAGATCTAGACTTTCAGTGGGTACACTACACCCAATTAAATTAGCTTCAGCTTTCTATTTCTTTTTGCAAATCGGCTCAACACTTTTTCGGCTGTAATTTTTTCATTGACAATGGAAATCTCTATGTGAGAGAATCATTCTTGAATCATTGTGCTTCTAAGCCACGTTTTTATCCGCCTCATAACAGAAAAACTTCGCTCACAGCGGACGGAGATCACTGGGAGTACTATTGCAGCTTGAAAAAGTTTATATAAATTAGGGCAGTACTCTTTTTTTTAATGTGATTTCTCAAACTTTCAGCATTTATCTCAACATTTTTTAATTGAATCATGTTTTTCATGACCATCGCTTCAGCTTCCAAGGCTGTTGTATCAATTCTTAAGATTTTTTTATAATTACTGATGAAATCCTCTCAGTTCTTCATGTCCAATTTAAGAAATGCGTCTACCGCACGAGCTAACGGTAGATTTTCGAATCGACGTTTCAGATTTACTATGATATTATCTACCACTTAGTAATAAATGTTGATCTTCCAGTATTCTTCTGGTTGTGAATCGGCTGAAAAATCTAATGTATTGCTTTTGCCCACAGTCGACTCTGTATAAAATTCTTTTTGTTGACGCCTCCTTTTTGAGACTCTAACGAGTCTAACAGGTACTAGTGAAATCTCGTGCTTTCCAGAAAACTGCTCGATGTCTGTCCAAATTTTGAACTGATTTCTGCATGCTTCGAAACTATCTATAGTACTTGCTATGAGGTCACTAGCCTGACCAAGAGTGGCATTTTGAGTCTGGAAAAATTTACTCACTACATTCACTATAGCGAGAACTGAGTGAAATGTGTGTAAGGAAACGACTAACTCTGGCTTCGTAATAATATTTAGCAATCCAAGTGCTTCCACTGTGTGCTTCTCACAGTTCTCAATGATCTCTTTTTCCAAAGTCAATTTAATTGCCTCATAATTTATCAGTACTGCTTGGCAGTTTTCGTAGCGACAACTCCATCTGGTAGTACTGAGACTTCCCATTTCACGGCTGGTATGGATTCCGAGAGTGCCTTGTAATTTTTGCAGGCTCGCATGATAAGGTTGTGCGAAGTGAATATACAAAGCTTTCAGGCCGTTAAAAAATGTCTTTGCTAGTGAAATATTTGCGCATGAGTCAACAACCACGAGATTTAGTTTGTGTGCTAACAATGGATGTAAATTGCATGAGGATGATTTTTACCAGACATGATGCTAGCACCATCATAAGACTGTGCAAGAATTGGAATATCACCCAAATGGTGTTTATTCAATGTGTCCAAAATTAATGTAGCCAGTTCTTGCGCATCTCTGAAGGTGAAACAATTTGTAAAACCTATTAATCTTTCGACTATGTCTCAACCGTTCGCATATCTTATAGTCATTGACAATTGTTCCTCTTTAAAGCATCCGACCTCGTCCAGACTTAAAGAAAAAAAGCCACATGCTTTAGCTTCTTCAACAATTTCTTCTAGAGGTTCGATATCTCTTCAATTATTTCATTCTGGATATCTGGGCTGCAGTAGTTGTAGTGTTTTTCAAATAGGAGTAAAAATTTGTCATCATATTTACAAAAAAGTTGAGTAATTTTCACGAAATTACCTCTAATTTTAGAAGATGCGTCTTTCTGGTGCCCTCTCAAAGGCAATCCCTGCCGAACAAGGGTCAATATTATATCAATAACTTTAGCCAAGTATTCTGTGTTTTGAACAATTTCTTCTTGTTGATGTTTCATAAGTTGTTCATGAACATCTCCAAATATAAGAGATTGACGATAAGACACAGTCTACATATGTCTGCATTCAGCGAGGCGATGATTCTGAGCGTTTTTTAACGCTTTTGCTAATTTTTTTTAGTTGTCAAAACCACTTTTTACAAATTTCTCACTTTGGTTTCGTATATTGCCCTTGTTGAAGTTTCTGCATACGAAACAGTAGACTTTTCTTCTTTACTGTATTCCAACCAGCTAGTATATAGTTCATAACATCTGGACGAAAACGATCTGAATTTTGTTCCAAATTTAGTTTTTAGGAAATCTATATCATGCAGGTCAACTTGGTCTATGGGCTGTCGTTTTTACGCCCAGTGCGGACTGTGAGACCGCGGATTTTAGAGCGGGAATTTTGTAAATGAAAGGAAACTTTCCCTTTTTTCGTCGATTGAAATTTTGTAAACATCCCCCTTAGAAAAAACTCCTCGCGGAGTATCGGAGCAGAGGTCTCCTTCAACTATCAACAGTTAGGTGGGAAAGTTGACACTTAGCTGGGAAAGTTGACACTTAGCTGTCAAGAAATGCAAGTCATCGTCAACAAACGGACGGCTTTCCCATCCTAACGCTATAAAAGTTTGCGCTACAGGAAATATAGGGCGGATCAACCCAAGGAAGTTATTTCTGTACTTGTGTTGTCGATCTCCATGTTCAGGAACGGAATCCCGTCAGAGAAGACATACGACCGCCATACCTCAGCCTTCCCCTCCAATCTTACACATAGAGGAATTTGTTGGAACTTTGTGAACTCTCTCCCCCGAATAGCATTTTATTGCATTTAACCGCATTTAATCGAGTAGCGTTTAGTCAGATAGACTTGTAACCGAATTTTGTATGTTAACTTTAGTTAATCAATAAATGTTTTGTTTGTTAACCTGTCCACCTGTCGATCCTTCTCCCGTGAAGACCACGTGCTCGCGACCTCCCACTCACTTTTTGCCATCCTAAGCCATCCACCGACGCAGAGATCCGGTTTTAACAGCCTGTGCAGTGTAAGTGGTCATTAGGGATCGTCCCTCTGACCCTCTGCTTATCTCACAGGACGAACTTTAAATCGCACTGTGTCTATTAAATCTTAGAACCATAACATTTACGTTAGTTTTTGTTTATTATATGTAGATAATGGTTTTGAGTAAAGGCTCTTTCTCACTTATGGAAAAATCCGTAAAACGAATTTTCAGAAAATTTTCTTTTCCGTACCATCAAACCAGTGCAGAAAATCGTGTCGATCAACTTCTAACTTTTCATTTACAGAATACTGAAAAGGACTTTCTCGCTCCGGTAGCAATCAGGTAGAGATTTAAGTCGTCACCATGCATGATCTCGCATGCATAATAAAGAGTTTCGAAAGAATATAGAATTTGAAGCAAAAGAGCAATCGGGATTTTGTGGAATCGTCTATAGAAGAGATTAGAAAATATTCTCATCCGTTGACACACAGGCATGCCAACAATAGTGTTTTCTTCCATCTTGGCCGTATCGACTGTGACGTCATTACAATAATAGCCTATATCGGATTGCTGAAATTCTTTTCCGGATCTGACGAAGACCCGATGTATATTTCGGATGGTACAGCTGTAGAATTACTTTTCTGTATTCTTTTTCCGCATTACTTTTTTGCAGTGATTTTTCTAGTGTGAGAGCGGTCTTAATGCAACATCAAAATAAATAAAATTAATATTTTAAAAAAAACGGAAAAATCTTCATAATAAGGCCAAATGAAAATGAAGTTTGAGACAACAGGGAAACCGACAGAGAATAAACAGATTGAGTTAGGGAAGAGCGACCGATTCTTTTTCCTTTAATATCTGACTTTGTAAAGGATCTCTCCTCTTAAGTCTTCATTAATTCGATCGGTTAATCAATTTCACACTTCCGTTCGACTTGGTACGCGAGTATCGATCCAACTTTGAAACTTTCGCTCGTATCTCATGCCATAATATTTTCTTTTCTGACGGCTAAGAATTTTTCTTTATGTCTTCCTTACTTACAACGCGGCAATTTTGTTTACAAAGGAATGCTACATTTATTTCCAAATTTTGTCATGTCTACGAGGTCAGAGTGAAAGCTCGATTTTTCCGATTGACATTCTAAACATTCCATTATTTACCCAATTTGAAAAATTGTAGATCTGTAAATTCCCACTATCGTCTGGAAACCTTAGGGACAGGAGGCTCCAATTAACTATACATGAACTTCCAATGCAAACCGGAAGTCACTATTTTTCAAT